AATGGTTTGAATGGAATAAATTATCACTAAACTTGAATAAAACTAAAATCATGTTGTTTGGGAACAGCAGCCTAAATTTACAAGAACAAATCCAAATTGATGGTGTGAGAATTGAAATAGGGAAGGAGATCAGATTTCTTGGTGTAATAATAGACAATAGAATCAGCTGGAAAGCTCACATTAAACATATAAGCAATAAAATCTCAAGAAGCATCTCAATATTAAATAAAGTCAAACACATTCTGGACCAAAAGTCACTCCACATCCTATACTGTTCACTTATTTCCACATATTTAAGTGACTGTACAGAGGTTTGGGGAAACACCTATAAAGGTTCATTATCATCATTATCTGTGTTACAACAAAGGGCTCTAAGGATCATTCATAACACCGGTTACAGAGATCATACAAAGTCATTATTTTTAAAATCACAAATCTTAAAATTTCCCGTGATAGTTCAGTTTAAAACAGCACAGCTGATGTATGAAGTAAACAACAAACTACTTCCAGACAACAAGCTGTTTCATAAAAGGGAGGGGAGGCATCAGTTAAGAGGGGAGTTAAAATTCAAACATTCTCGAGTCCGAACAACATTCAAAACTTTCAGTGTGTGTGTGTGTGTGTGTGTGTGTGTGTGTGTGTGTGTGTGTGTGTGTGTGTGTGTGCGCGCGGTGTGAAACTGTGGAACAGGATGAGTGATGAATTGAAGCAATGACCAAACATGATGCTGTTTAAAAAAAGGCTTCAGCTCGTGATGTTTACCAAGTACAAGGAAGAAGATCCAAAAGTGTGTGTGCCTAAACACAAAATGTTTGTGTTTATGATATGATCTTGATAAACCACGTGCCATTTGTGTGAATATGTTGCAAAGTCATTAGCAAAAAACTACCAGATAACATTAAATAACTATTAGTTATTTGGTGTCGAGAAAGGGGTGGGATTAAATAAGCTGATGCTTCTTCCTACTTCCTTTTGAACATGTGAATAAAAACAACAGAAGGAGAAGTTACTTATATTGTGTGTATTACTACGTGTATGCACGCATGTTCAAATAAAGACAAAAGACAAAGAAATGCATTTGCTCTACTGTTAGCATTTGTTGCAAGCAATCAACTGAATGTTAAAGTTACAAATCACCTCTAATCACAGCTACTTGTGTTACCTCAGTAAAATACATCTTGCTATTCTATACACCATGAGATAATTGGATGAGTCAGAGATAATTAGAATAAGAGTGTATACTTGATGAATGAGCTTCTCTGTTTAATCTACCAAGGTGGAAGAATATCACCTGAGCACACCGGGATAAAATGTCTTCTTTTCCAGCTGCTCTGACACTTCTTCCGCTGATACTTCCCTTCGTGCTACAACACGGCCATTTGTTTGCCCATGCATTAGTGACATTACCAGCCACCCTATCCTTTCCCTTAATTATTAACGGCGTTCTCCGATCAGACTTTGTTGTTTATTGCCTGACGGCCCCTTGCCACTGGTGGAAATGCTGGCGATGGTTTTAAAGAAGTGGTTGGGGATCTTAAGGTAGCGTCACATCCCCAGCATGGGAGTGACCCCTCCGGATATCTGGCTGCACGAGTCAGTGTTTCGGTGATGCCAAGCGATGTCGGCTGGGAGAGCTGAGTAAGGTTAGTGAGCGGCAGGGTGATCGCGTTTTTCTTTTTTTCTATGTTCTTGCTTTATTCTCTACAAGCAGAAGGAAGTCACTGGTTAGGCAACGTCAGCGTTTTTGTGCATTGAAAGGAAAAGTGTGTCCGTCCGACCCAGGAGGCTCTACCTGGCAGATGTCTTGGCAGCATGACCTGTTTTCTGATCAGCCGTTGCCTCTTACGGGCAGGAATGACTAATGCCCTGGGCTCATGGCTGCACTCTGTTTTGTTATTGTTGACTTTCGCAAAGTAGGCTTTTGCTTTTCCTCATTTGAGTCCTTCGCTGCTATGATGTTTTGATCCAAAACTTATTACAATTTTCCTTTACAAGTTGAACTAATGAAATCCATTTATTTCTCATTTATTCTGACGTGACCGATGCAAAGAAAAATCCAAGTGTTGGCAAAAACATTGAGCCTGTCGGTTGTTAGCCTCGTCCACCTCTGTGGAGGAAACCTCGGAGTATTTTGCAATGCGAGTGGAAATGTATTTACACTATAGCGTTCTGTGTATAATGCACACCCGCTGTATACATTCCACATAGCAATTTATCACCAGGAAAAGGAATACTTCATGTTGAAGCAGATTGTTTTAATGATTGTTTCCAGAACTACGAGACGCGTATTTTAAGTACACGGTGCTCTGAAATGCTTCTGCTCTCCTGTGGTTCGACCCACGGGGACCAGAGATTACTGTTTCAGCGAGACAGCACTGAGTAGCTGTTTCTTAACTCTTGGCTGCTAATCTGTAGTGATCAGGGTCTTTGTAGTCTTCAGCACATGGAGCGTGGCTCTTAGCCAAAACGCAGGCTATCTGTATCTGCGTAGCAATTGTGATGGGGCTGCTGATGAAAACCAAATGTTTGCTGGTCAATAACTAATTAAACACACACAGACACACGCAAAAGTTCATCATCACGCTTCAGGACACTGAACTGTCACGAGAAGGGTCACGAGTCCACCCCTCCCCTTTCCCAGTTCTAATATTGTTTATCTGTTTATGGATTGCACAACTTCTGGGACATGTATTTCTCTGCCTGAGCACTGTCGCAGCATATTTCATGTCCTCCACATCAAAGTGCTGTGTGTGAGGAAATGGCAGACCACCTCGTGGACATAAAGCACAACAGCATGCGGCAGAATATTGGGTCAGTCTTTGATGTTCTGGTTCCTAATAACGTCCTCGGAGAGCTGAATTGGATATGCACTCTGTGTGGAGCGCATTAAGACAATGCAGGTTCATTAAAGGGAGCCTAAATGTTTCCATACTTCCTGGATCCTTCCCGGTGTGAAGCGCTGCCTCTTATTTAAGCTCCCTTGCTATCTCTAGCACTTCTACTGTGTGTGTGTGTGTGTGTGTGTGTGTGTGTGTGGGGGGGGGGGGGTCAGTTTCTACAATTTATTTTCTTCTTGCTTTGATTAAAGGGTTTATCTTATTTTTAATGGGCATTAGAAAACCATCCTTCTATATTTGACCCAACACACATTTTCTATTTAATTTGGTCTAAAAAGAAAAAAAAATGTTCCCTGAGAGAAATAACCAGAAACTCTTCATTCCCCAAAGGGGGCCTGGTTGATATTTCTGAAGTCTTTCTGGTGGTTTTTCATTGTTTTTCTTTGGTGTTGTAGCTGTTTTACACTTGTTAACATGCAGTAGCTGTCAGTTTTATTTGACTTGTGAACCATTAAGATATAAAAACGCTCTTGAACTCAAGGAAGACACCATGGAGTTAAGTGCCCGCCCCGTTACTGGAGGGTTGCAGGTTCCCTCTTGCATTCATTGTGTCCTTGGGCAAGACACTTCACCCGCCTTGCCTGTTGGTGGTGGCCTGAGGGACTGGTGGTGCTTCCCAGGGAAGCTCTGCTACATTTTAGCTCATCACTATCATCTGGTTATGTTGTAAATGATAAATGACCCGCACTTGTGTAGCGCCTCTCAGAGTAAGGACTCCAAAGCGCTTTACACTACAGTGTATCATTCATCCATTCACACACACATTCACACACTGGTGGGGATGAGCTACGATGAAGCCACAGCTGCCCTGGCGCCACCGGTCCCTCCGACCACCACCGGCAGGCAACGTGGGTTAAGTGTCTTGCCCAAGGACACAACAGCAGAATTCTCTGTCCGGAGCCGGGATCGAACCTGCAACCTTCCGATTACTGGACAACCCGCTCTACCTGTTGAGCTACTGCTGCCCTAAAGCACTTTGAGGGGTTGTAGGAATCTAGAAGGTGCTGTATAAATACCTACATAATTACCATAAACGCAGAAATCTTACACAAGAACCGGTTTAAAACTGAAACTTCAAACACGTAGTTACAACCAGCCAGTCACTATTTCATGTGTTACAATCTCTTCAGTTGCAGCATTAAAAAGATGATAATTTAGCAACAAGAATGTGATTTTCAAGTAGGTAAAAACTTATATTTATTTAAAAAAAACAAGACTTTAGACAAGTGGAAGAAAAGTTTCAGGACTGTGAAACTATAACCGTGTCCGATAAACGGTTTCTAAAATCTTATCTTTAATGAAAAATTAAAATACATTTAGAGCCGAAACCTGAGAGATGCTTCATGCTTCTAATCATCCTCTGAGCTCTTAATGAGTCACTTTGGTGCTACGTTAGGTTCCTGTTTCTTCATTAACACACGGACAATACAGAGAAAGGACATTTAATCACGTTACAACAAAAGCACACTGACAAGCAAACAAACAAAAAACAGTTATACTATTTTTAAAACAAGCAAGGAAGATTCAGTGAGTAAAGCAGCTACATTTGTTGAGACAACGTGTTAATGACTGAAGTGTTAAGGTGAAGTGGTCATGTTTGTAATCTTAGGGTTATTCTGAGAAGAACTCTGTTCTGGTTCTAGGGAGCGACATTTGAAGGGCAGCCCTAGAACGCAGAACATGATTTGCAAACACATAAGAGGAGTCAGATCAAAGAGAGACTTGAGAGTAAAGTCTGGCTCCTGGGAACGAAATGACTAAGATCACAGAACAGCACAGAGTCTCTGAGTGGTTCCTGTCATACAACCGCCAGATACCAAAATGATAACGTCCTAAAGATCAGTGTAAAGTAACAAGGGCTTCAAATGATTTGAGGTCTTGGTGAAATTGAGAAGAACAATTATGACGAGATATGAATAAAGCAACTGTGGGTCAGCATCGTCTCTAAAGACGTGCCTAACCCGTTGGAACGTGGCCAGAGAGATGAACAGCAGTCAATCCTTTTCTTTAGTTTTTTTCTAACGGCACTTCTGAAAACCTGCATTTTTGTTGCTTTCCGAGATGTTTGCTGACCGACCTTCAAGGCGCACTTGATGTTTGCAGACATTGAGTGCAGATAAATCCATCAGAGTCATCACTCCAGTGGAGGAGGAGGAGGAGGTGAAGGTGAAGCCAGCACTGTCGGTGCGACGCAGCAAAGAGGACTACTACGGGAGCCTGAGTAGGGGCTGCAGGGACTCACACATGGACAGTTTAAAGGTGAAAACCCAGTTTTGATCCAAATATGTTTTATCTTGATATCGATGCTGATTTAAAGGAACCTCGTTGTTGCACCTTTCGTTCAAATAAGCAACCTGAATGTGAGGAGCCGCCACAGGCCAGATACCCCCAGCCCCCTCCTGCACTTCCTCCACCCTCTGCTTCATCATCTACCCAGTCTGGGAGAACTGCGGTGGGCAGGATAGAGCAGATTCAATTGGCAGCATCTGGTGAGAGAAACTCTGCAGTTTATCTCCTTTATTAAAACTGTCACGGTCAGTGGTGTCCATCTAAACTGAAACGTTGACTTTTTAATTGCAGTTATTAAAGTTTTTAATCAGTCCAAGTCATCTGAGAGTGAGACAGCGGTTTCTGCTGAAAAAACTGTGTTTTGTGGTACAAACCTTCTGGCTGAGAGAAAGCTGCTTGGTGACCTGAAGTCCATCAAATCTCTGAGTGATTCAGGGATGTCGGGAGTCTTTACTGGACAAGCAGTGAGTTCACGCTTTCTTCCCATTCTTTATTCAACACTGTGCACAAATCTCAGGTCACCTTCATTTCCTTGATGACATTCACCTGACAACATACAATGGGCTAAACCATCTCAAAAGCAAGAGAAGAAGTCCTTGAATTTCTATCCAAGGACAAATTCAACCTCAAAAGAACCCGGAACAACATCTAGAGAATCTGCAGACCTAGTTTTGGTAACTGTTAAAGTAGGAGTTCATCATCATGATGCTAACACTGTAACATGGTGGTGGTGGTGTGATGGTCTGGGGCTGTTTGCTGCTTCAGGACCTGGGGTCTCATTTATCAAACATGGCGTAGAATCCGTACTAAAACCGTACTTAAGCTGGGGGGGGAGCACCCAGCGACCTCCCCATATCCCATCTTGGTTGGAGAGGTGTCTGATGGCAGTTTATTCTAGCTTCAGCTGGGAACATATAGATTACAGATTGTGGTCCTGATATTTGACACATTGTCTGATGCTCTTCCACATTCGTGCGCGGCATTAGAGCATGGTGGAGCTATTGGGGTAAACCGGCCATGCTAGCAGAGGCGGAGCTGGCCTAAATGGCGCCCTGTGCGAGATCCCCCTGTGACCCACCCCCCACCCACCCACGAAAAAGCATTACACCTACAACTTTGTTTCAAATTGCGTGGAGTGTATATGTAACAATGTTTGCTAACTGAATACAACATCCAGCTCCTGGCCACCTTCTCACCACTTGTCAAAGTTCTACTGAAATAGACACACTTAACGCAACATGATGGCATCATCGACTTGTACAGTACAGATGTGCTGAAAGGCGAGAGTCTCAACTTTCAGCAAAAAAAAAGACCGCTCTAGCTATTATAGTTTTTATTTTATGGCAGTTTACAGTTTAAACGGGATCTTACTAGCAGGGCACCTCCAGCGGCCCGCTGCCGCTCCGTTTTTCATGGGGTAAATAATAGCTAATTTCCCGATTCCAAAAAGAAAGAATGGTCCTACCAGCTCGCCACTTCAATATGAAGAAGATCAGTTCAACATGGGGGAAAAAACCTGACCTGTAGGCCAGAGAAACGTTCATTAGCAAAATCAAGTTCGATTCAGTTTACCTGTAAACATATCACGAATGTACAACAGGTCAATTATTAATCATCTTGGCTACGTAGCTCAATCTATGCATTCCAGTAGCGTTTGCTACAAACAAATACAAAAACAACAATAAAGGAAAACAACTGTCTGACAGACAGCATAGCCGAATTCAAGGCAACACATAACAATAATCATTCGATTGCTCTTGGTTTAAAGTTAAGCCCATTAAAGTGCTTAAGTAAATAAAAGTGTTTCAAAAACAGCATTTTTGAACCGGAGTTCTGCTCGCGGCGGGAACTCCACCTAACAAGGTCATTTTTTATAGCAAAAACCATCGACTGGTCACTGACAAGTAAAAGGGTGTTATTGGTAGATGTTAAGAACACTTACTGCTGAGGTAAAATGAGAGTATAAATGAATTGAGGGGAAAAAACGCTTTGTTTTCCAACGCCGTTCTACAAGCAACAAGCTTACGGCAGGAGCAGCTTTCATGGTTGCCACGACTTGGAAGGAGCCAATCAGGAGAGGGACCTCACATCAGCTGACGTGGGTCATGTGACAGGGAGTAGTTGATATGGGTTACACTTTGTTGTGCTTTTATTAGAGAAATATTATTATCATCACTATTATTATTAAGAACATGTGATTTCTATGTTTTGTTTATGTATTGGTTGATGCTAAAAAAAAAATGTTAGAAAAAAAAATAAAGGAAATTAAATGCCGCCCCCTGCAGACTGCCGCCCTGTTCGGCCGCACATGTTGCACATATCAAGCTCCGCCACTGCATGCTAGTTATTTAATATTAATTTGTCAAAGCTCCAGGTTCATTGTGAGCCCCAACAACGTGTCACATGCTATATAGAGGCTCAAAGAACAGTGCTTGGTTGTAAATAAACAGCATTCTACTGATCCGTTAAATAATTTGAAAAGAAAAATAAATAAATCGGGTTGGTTGGAGACTTTTGCTTTCTACGTCTTACCAGAGTTTTCATCCTTTATTCGGATAAAGTGCTGACATTTTTGTATTTCTTTTTCTAGAATAAGATGGTGGTCCTGCCCACTGAGGAGGCCAACCTGTCAGACATTGACTATCTGGTACCCACTCATGATGAGCGAGGTCACCCTATAGCAGAGTGGAAGAGGCAGGTCATGGTGAGGCAGCTGCAGGCACGACTGCTGGATGAGGAGGACCAGAGGAGAAGGGTAATGTCAATGTTTTGTGTGTTCTGTGTTTAAAATTTTATAAATCATCAGAAGTACAGAAGCATTTTTTCTAAGATTATGTTTTTCCATTTCACATCTGGTTTTCAGCAGCACCCCAAGTGTGACTTTCTATGTGTTTAAGCCGTGTCAGTAGAGCTTGAAGGTTTTCTCAGCAGCTAAAAGTTTTTTTGTAGTAGTCAAACTGCACGAGTTTTTCTTGTTCTGTGTTCAAATCATCTGTTAAAGCTTGGCACGCTTTTAGATAATGTCACAGAAAGCTTTCCTGAAATTGGTTAAAAAGAAAATAGTCAGTATAGGTTGCTGAATAGTTGTTGATCAATATTCTGTAAAATCCTCTAACCAAACAGTCACTGAACCAGTTAAAATGGAAATAAATAAAGCTGGGGCGAGACTTTAAATCAGTTGTAAATTTGCAACACTAAAAATCGTAAGCCTCCATTTCTTTTTAATTGCTCCTAACAAGTCGTTCACACACAACACATTTAATGTAGAGTCATATTTTTGAGGTTTGGATGAGAGCTGAGCCTCAGTTTTACTGTGTCATTACTTTCTTCCTCGTGTGCCAACATCATTTAAAATGTTTGACGGCCGCTGCTGTGACATCCCGCATCATTACCCTCCCTCCGTTTGCCTCTTCTTTCACAGGAAAATGGGAACAGATATGCCAAAGTCAGCTGGAGGTACTCCCAAGCCCACAATGCCATCCTGGGGCCCTCTGGTGAGCTGCTGACCGAGGACGACCTCATCTATCTGGAACAGCAGATTGCCAACGTGTCCATGCAGAGGAACTCTGCCGGTTATGAGCTGGAGCTGGCTCGTCTTGCTGAGGAGCTCAGGCACATCCTCCCAGCCCCCATAGTCAACATCACAGTCAACACGCAGTTCAGAAACTTCAAGAGTCAGGTTCCTCTGCCCGTTTGGTGTGGCCGGATCTCAGGCATCGTGAAGAGCATGTCTCTGCTCATGACCAACCTGACAGACCACCCCTACTGCAAGATGCCCAACACTGAACTCATCACCGTGTTTTCTCAGGCTCCAGACCGACAGTTCTCCACCAGGATACGCAGGGAGACCATCGAGGATGAAATCCATCAATTCGGGGTGTCTGTGAGGACTTTGAAGTTTAATTTCGAGATGCAGAACTCGTCTCCGTCCAACCACCCACAAGAGGCTGTCTTGTTCAGTTCCTCCATGCAGCCCGGGGAGGCAAAAGCAGACAAACAACCTAAAGGGTTGAAGCCACCCCCCGAAATGGACCAGAACGGCGATTCTGGCATTGACAATGATGAAAATGGTGCAGACGTTCAGGAAACCATCAGCCTCAGGAAAGAGCGTATAGTAGTTCTGTTTTTAGGCCACTGGAAGAAATCGGCCTACTCAATCACGCTGAAGAGTAGTGACGATGCGGAGAGGAAGGTGAACGAAGGAAACCCTGGAACTGTGGACAAGTCGGGCTCTGCTGGTAAGGACCCGTCACCGAGTTCCCAGCCAGACATGATGAGCAGTGCTCTCGGACATTTCTTCAAGCAAAGGAGTGCCGTCAACAAGATGCTGGGGAACTGGAGGAAGATGATCTCCAGCGTTCCTTCCAGACAAATACGCAGGTGAGGAGTGGCGATTTTCGCTTCGTCCTTCTGCGACAGAAACAGTTTCACTGAGGTGGCCATCCACGGAGCGATGTTCCTTTGTTTTTGCTCAAATATTCACTTTATTCAGTGACTTAAACCAACAGAAAAAGAGCACACTGCACAGTATTCTGTATATAAACACATGGACGTAATTTTCACTTTAAAAGTGGGGGGGACACGGGGGGGGGGGGGGGGGGTCTTTAAAGTATGCTCTAATGGGAAACAGTTTTCAACACAAACAGCTGTTTTCCGCTTTGTCTTAGAGCTCAACCAGTGTCAATTTAATATAGCGTAATATTGTTTTTGGATGGTAAAAAGTGCAGGGGTCAAAACTTGATTTTGGAAAAAGTGGGGGGGACATGTCCCCCCATCCCCCCCCCCCAAAATTACGTCCATGTATAAACATAAAGAGTTTCAACACTAATTGGAATCACTTTTGCGTGACCACCTTTTGTTGAATATTACCGACGATTCTGTGTTCTAGCTGGTTTTTCTGATTCTTTCACTGACAGCCAGTCGTAGCGACTGACGTGTGAGGTCTTGTTTTGCAGTGTGTGTCAGACACACGTAAATAACACAGTAGTTGGCACCAGTGGGAATGAGTTGCACATGTGCAGATGTATTGTGGTTCATTAACTAGAGGGAGGGGTGGTGTGATCAAATTATAGCGGGGCTGTTGTCGCTAACTGATGGGTAGAAAACAGGCCGCAGTCGTGAAAAACCTGGGATCGTGCGATTACGGGGAGACATTTCGAAACAGCCTCAAAGCGACTGCAAACCGATGGGCATAAATTTCAGCCTTATCTTAATGTTTGATGACAAAAAAAATACCATTAAAAAAAGTGGCTTAATTGGGAATTCTGCGGTTACGGTGCATTTGAAGAGTTAGGGAGATACAGATATAACTACTGACTAGGGGTTTGTATGATCTAGTCGACTAGTCGACTTCACGGCTCTGTAGTGACTTTTTATGCCTGTCATCGACTAGTCGCTGTCACGTGATAATGACTGACAAGATGCAGTCCTCCAGCAGGTGATGAGCCCCTGCGTCGGGAGGCGGAGGCAACGCGCTGTGCCAGAGCGTCGGTACTGACACCGGCGGTAAAACGGACATTTAACCAAACTGTGACCTTTTCCCTCTTGCAATTTTACCTTCCCCTCACCCCCATCCTAATCTTAACCAGTTTGCGCATGCAAAGCTCTGATCGTTGACGCGCTCCATCTGCGTCACCGCCAAATCAGGTGTCACCACCTCAAAAACAAAATAAACACGCGATCGTTCATGTCGGCTCATTTCCTTTCTGTCTGTTATTTGTGCCTGATGCGTTTCGCTGCTGCGGAGCGAGGCGCATCACCTGTTTTGTCCTCCGGTGACGCACCCCCAAGATTCCACTATCTCCGCTCCGCTCCGGCACGAACTCCGCAGCAAAAACGGTCCCGTTGTAGTCGGCCGGCGAGCGGCGGCACTCCGCTGTTTTCGCGGTCGGTAGATCTTTTAGAACTGCAGTTCAAAGGTAACTCATGAGGTGAATATATATGAAGCCAGGTCGCAGTTTCTCTTTAGGATTGAGAGGAGATGCAGGAAGATAATAAACAGGCAGGACAGAAAAATAGTCAAATAAAAACAAGTTAGTTTTTGTACCTGCTGGTTGCAACAAACAGACACCATTGAAGGTAATCAGAAGTGAGGAATAGAAAATGAAATAATTATTTTAATGTTTAGAGCAGCAGGAACTCCGAGAGGCTGCAGGTGCATCAGTGAGTTTGCGGCCGCTGCGCAGGGGGAGGGGGGAGAGGCCTGAAGCAGGGGGAGGGGGGAGAGGCCTGAAGCAGGGGGAGGGGGGAGAGGCCTGAAGCAGGGGGAGGGGGGAGAGGGCTGAAGCAGGGGGAGGGGGGAGAGGGCTGAAGCAGGGGGAGGGGGGAGAGGCCTGAAGCAGGGGGAGGGGGGAGAGGCCTGAAGCAGGGGGAGGGGGGAGAGGGCTGAAGCAGGGGGAGGGGGGGGAGGGGAGAGGCCTGAAGCAGGGGGAGGGGGGAGAGGCCTGAAGCAGGGGGAGGGGGGAGAGGGTTGAAGCAGAAACTACCGTTGTTAAAAGAAATGTGTTTAACTTTGAAAATGTGGGCGCAATTTTAATTGTCAAAAACTCCAGCGAACCAACCGACCCCCCCCCCCCCCCCCCCCGTGCCGTTTCAAGAGTATGACGTCATCAACGACTAGTCGAAGTCGACTCGATTTTCATTACTTGACTGTCGACTTTAAAGACAATTAAGTCATGCAACCCCTAGTAGCGACAGAATGTAAATGCTAAACAGAGCTCTCAACTTTTTAACAGTTTAGTGCTGACAAAATATTTCAAATGTTTGTTCAGTATCTCATCATTTCATGTTGGGGAACGACAGATTCAACCGGCTTTGGTCCAGTCTGTTAAAGATTTCCCACAATATTCCAAACTCTCATGTAATCCATCAGGACTCAGAGTGTGTGCTGTGAATGACTCCCAGCTACCAGCGTATCAAACTGCAGCTCTGTAGCTGTAAATCTGCTGAGTGAGGGCCAGTTCACACGTCTCTGTCAGCTCGGGTGGGGATGCAAAGCAATTCCCCACCTGGACAATGGAAGGCCAAACACATTCCTGGGGAGGTTTTGTCACCATTGCGGTCACACTGCTGATTCTCTATTGTGTGTATACTATTGTGAACCTGTAGTGTGTGTGTGTGTGTTTGTCAGTGACTTTTCAACTAAAGCCGGGCGTACGACTTTTTCACTTTTTTGAGCCGAATTTCCACTCGTGCGAGAATCCATGAGATCAGGGCGAGTTTTGCGCCGAGCGTCGTGTAGTGTACAGGGGGTTATGAGAGGCGATTAACACCACGTGACCAGCTGCCGATCAGCAATCGTGAGCTCGCACGGACTTCTGGCGTGTTTGAAATTTTGCTCGTCCCTCGTGAGGGTATCGCACTGTTGAAGCGGCGCTGCGAGCAGCTGCGACCCAAAAACTACCAGAACCGCTCACGGTGCATGCGCAATCCTGCATCAACACCGCTCGCCCGCTATTTCCCTAATAACACACGCTGTTTGTTTTTATTTCAACACGTTTTTTTACTCACAAAGATTGTCAAGAAAGCGTGTTTGTCGTGTTTGTGTCAAATTAAACTGATCACTAAACACAGATTTACTTTCTTTATTTCGTTTTCCTCATCCAACCCCCATAAATCCCCGTGTGTCCTCCTGCAGCGCTCCCGAAGGACAACAGGCAAAACAAAAAAGTCTGACGTGTTGAGTAAAAACTGCTATTTTTAGCATATTTTTAGGGCGACGTGTTGCTACCAGACGTACAGTGTGAGCAGTCAGGTCGCATGCGAGAACTGGGTCGTACAGTGTGAGCACACGACTCGTGAGATCTGCCCTGCGAGGAAGTCGTACAGTTTGAGCTGAAGCTGAACGCTGCGAGTGAAAAAGTCGCACAGTGTACGCCCGGCTTAAGACAAATTTCTCCCTCATTCTCCTCCACCTCTTCATGCAGTCGCCTCCTCCAAACCCGTTTCCCAGAACTTCCTTCCATGAGCTAAAAGTCTGCATCGTTCTCCTTCAGTGAAAGATGCAGACACTTCACACCATCGAACTTCTTCTGCGAGATGTTTTTTGGTCGTGTTTGCTGCTCGATATCTAGATATAGTTTATTTTTTGGGGAGGGGGAGGGGGGCAACGGTGCTGTAGAAAGATTTAAAAGAAGTGGTGTGCTGACCAATCACAGGCCAGCGATCGCTGTAGCATTTGACTCACAGTTGATGAGCATGTCTCTGTCACTCTCTGCAGGCCTGCTGCAGAGCCCTTGTGTCAGTGGATGACAGCATGGCGTGCCTCCGTACCGCCGCAGATGGAGAAATATAAACTGAGCTTTACGGCCATTTTTGTGTTGAGTAAAGAATAGCCGCGCTGACCTTTTTGAGTTGGACTGAGTCCTAAAGTTAATCAGTACCTTCTGAGAGTTGATAAACATCCACCCAGTGGTTTGTCTACGTGTCTAAAGAGGTCTTAGGCCGATTACAGCCTAAGCTGGGACAGCTCAGGAGGTAGAGCGGGTTGTCCAGTAATCAGAAGGTTGCAGGTTTGATCTGGGTTCTCACCAGAGACTGCTGCTGTTGTGTCCTTGGGCAAGACACTTAACCCACCTTGCCTGCTGGTGGTGGTTGGAGAGACTGATAGTGCCAGTGTCGGGCAGCCTCACCTCTGTCAGTGCGCCCCAGGGCAGCTGTGGCTTCATCCCAGCTCATCCCCACCAGAGTGTGAATGGGTGAATGACTGATTGTGCTGTGAAGCGTCTTGGGGGGGTTGTAGAACCCTGAGAAGGCGCTATAGGAATACAGACCATTTACCATTTACGACATAATAAAACAATATTCAGTCGCAGAGTGATATTGCTGAACCCTCACTAATCACACGCTGTCCTCCTCAGGCTCCACCGGCAAAAGGCCCTCTTCTCCCCAGAGCAGTTCCTCCCTCGTCTGGATGGGGTCCCCGTGGAATACGACAGCCTGACCCTGGATCTCTTCATGCTGGGCTACTTCCACATCCTGGAGCTCGATTTGCCCGTAGACGAACGCAAAATGAGGCACTTGCTGTGTTTTGAGGTTTTCGATCGGGTGGGGAAGTTCCCTTGGGAGACGGTGAGGGAGTTTCACAAGGCTGTCGTACAGGACATAGAGGCCGGGAACAGAGAGTGGACGGATGGATTCGAGGACATTAAAGTCAGCTTCTTTGGGAACACTGTGAGTCAGTCCAAAGATGTTGCTGCTGTGGTGAAACACAGCCTCCCAGAAGTGAGAAAAGTGCCCAAGGTGATTGTTCAGACCCCTACGCCGGACGAGGGGGTGCTCTACGGCGGAACGGACATTTCCAGTTTCAGTAATGAAGAGATATGTCAGTATATTGATCGCAGTTTTGCTTTTTGGAAGGAGAAAGAGGCAGAGATTTTTGATTTTGAGTAGTTTCTTTACATTTTTTAATATTTAGTAGGCTTTGCATTTGGAGATGCTTGGTGTCAGGGGCGGCGTTAGGCCCGGCTACTTGGGCTGAAGCCCCGGATGTTCTTCAGTCCTTAATCCGCCCCTGCTTGGTGTCAAACCTAAAAGCTTCGTAAGTGATGAGTTTGTAATCGTAGCAGGTGATGTCACAGGATGTCGTTTGCTACTGACCAATCTGAATCGTAATTTTTAAAAATTTATACGGCTCTTTTTTTTAATTTGCTTACAAATGAAACGTCCCCATACGTCAAACGTTTGGGTGTTGTTGTGAGTTGTGATGTTTTTAGTGATCGTGATACATTTTAAAATCGGGCTTCAAGTCAAAGACAACATATGCAAATTTTTAACTATATCCAGTTGTTGTATCAGCATTCTTCAAGCTCTTTTTAGTTATTTGTGTTGCAAAGTTTTGTTTTGTTACCAACAGAGCCCAAAATCAAGAATCGGGCCTAAAATTCTTTCGTTTTGACCGTCAGTGGAAAACATTTTATAGGAAATTCTACTTTTCTTTGATGTCACATTTTTACATGTTTTCAATAAATAAATGAATGCCTGCTTCATCTACCACTGACTAACCCTTTTTCAATAATAACAGAATTATTACCCTCTTGAGACGTTTTTGACGCTGCTTACTTCCAGGACTCCTTAAACAATCCGAACACATGTAGCCTGGGACAACAGCTGCGGCTCCCAAACTTCTCGTTAGGAATCTGAGCACAGCGTCACTCCTGGTCCTAAAAATAACACCCCGAACGACGACAGGCCGTCCCCCCGGTGACTTGGCAAAAGCTGCATGCCATGGTGCCTGCTCCACGTCGAGCTGGGCTGAAGGAAACACGTCTTCCTGTTTGGTTTGAGAGATCAAATGTAATTTTTATTCCGTCCCTTGTTGGTAAGTTTTTTTTTAATCTTTTGTACTTCTTTATATTTATTGACAGCAGACCACCGTGTCTTGAAGGCGTTTGCAGCCCTTGTGAAAACAGCGCTACTTTGAACACGTCGTGTCGAGATCATTTTATAAAGACTGGTGTAAATGTACAGATACAGATATAACCATTCTTTCTGAAACCTTTCATTATAACACGAATGTAAGAAGTGTTTCTGGGTTTTGTGTTTTAAAATGCTGTTTTGAGCAGTAAAAATGCACAGATGGTGTTAAAGGAGTCTTCTTTCTGGTGTTTCTTTAGGCGTGCTAACCTTCGGGTTTTAGGTCCCTGCTGTCTCTCAGGACTGAAGCCGATCATGGTGCGTAATGTGGATGACCTGGACTTCTGCCTGCCCTCTCATCCTCAGAGCATACTGGAAGGCCTGCGTTCCCTCTGTTCTCACCCCAAACTGGTGGATGTGACACTGAGTGCAGGCGGCAGGGATTTCCCTTGTCACCGAGGGGTTCTGGCCCTCTGCAGCCCGTACTTCCACTCCATGTTCTCAGGGGACTTTGTGGAGAGCGTATCCGCACGTGTGGAGCTTCATGATGTCGATCCCGACATACTCGGCTGCTTACTTGACTTTGCCTACACAGGCAAGCTGACGATCAACCAGAGCAATGTGGAGGGCCTGATCCGCACCTCCAGCCAGCTGCAGTTCCAGACAGTGCGAGCCGTTTGCAGCCGGTACCTGCAGCACCAGATCGACGCGACCAACTGCCTGGGAATTCTGGAATTTGGTGAGATCCATGGCTGCCCCGAAGTGGTGGCCAAAGCGTGGGCCTTCCTTCTAGAAAACTTTGAGGCCGTGCAACGAGGCGAGGAGTTTCTGCTGTTAGAAAAAGACAGACTGGTTCCCTGCTTGTCTGCTGAAGGATTGCAAATCCGCTCAGAGTGCACACGCGTGGACGCCATCCTGAAATGGGTCGGGCATCAAAGAGAGTCCCGACTGTGCCACCTTCCCGAGCTCCTGAACTTGTCACATCTGTCTCTGCTCAGCCTGAGCTACCTGTCTGACACCCTGATGAAGGACAGTGTGGTGCAGGCCTCCCCCAGCTCCAAGGAGGCCATTGAAAAAATTCATAAAGAGGTCAGTGAGTTCGCCCAGCTTTGTTCCCGAGACCTCTTCCTAATCTCCGTAGATTTCCAAATAATTCATAGCCTTTACCTTTTTTTTTTTTTAGAAAACATCCCTGGAACCAGATCTTTCTGACAGACTAAACTCTCAGAGTCCTCAACCAAACGTGCAAGAGGTGCTGTTTGTGATGGGAGGTCGCTCACTGGATGATTCAGACGATGACGACGACTCAGATGAGGATGAAGACAGAGACCCCAGACTTCAAAGATCACCCTCCAGGAACTGTGCCTTCTACAACACAAAGACCAGTGAGAGTTTCTTCTGTGTACATTTACATTTAGAAATGTGCAGAGAGCCATCTGCCGGATGCATTAAGAGTTTGGCAGGCGTTGCAGGACATTAAATGTAGTGTTGACAGGAAAGTCTGCTTTGGAGAAATGTGGTCTGGATGTGACAACATTGGATCATAATGGCAGTTCCTCAAATGATCCTTTATTGAGCGTACTGGAGGAAGACGCTTGTGTTTTTCACAAGTCAAATAAAAAAATTGTTGCATCCCATTTTAAGACTTCTGGTTGCACGACGTCACCCAGAGGTCCTGCCAGAACCGTTACGTGCCGTTGCAGTGACCACCTAATGGTTCTGAAAGCTATTCAGTATATTTATCTAATTTTATTCATACATTTTAGACGTTACTGTGTTACTTTATTTCATTTCTTCTAGTTTTTTTTCAGTCAGAATAAATAATTTTTCTCATTTCCTCTGTAGAAAAGTGGCACCAGCTGCCCAACTTCCCCAATCCTGACAAGTGGGGTTACTCTATGGTGTCCCTAAACAATGATGTGTATGTTACAGGTGAGTTAAGTAGATGCAATAATTCATAC